ACAACAACAACAACATATTTTTATTTCCACATGGTAGATTAGTAATGGTTCTGTAATGATGTATTATAAATAGTCATTATTTTTACCTTTTAATGGAGTGCCACATTCCTTTCTTTTTTTCGTCTTTATCGGCAAGGACATCCTCCTTAATTTTGTCGGGCTTTTTCTGAACCTGGCAGCACAGGAAAGAAAACCCGCAGAGTTTAACAGTCTCACTGAGCACTATGGTGCATAGACCCTCTGTGGTCTGATGAGGCCGCCCTGTGTGGAGCCCAGCAATAACCCAGTACAACGGCACAGGTACAGTTTGCTATTAAAGTAATTCAAACTCATTTTATTCATTCTAGTAGCCATCTCCAGATTTCTAAATGAGGTGCTTTCACTCACATTTACTGATTTACCTCCTATAAGTATGTCAGAGTTCACAGAGTTTATCCAAACCAAAATCACTACACATATCGCCACTGATATTGTCAGTTTTGATGCATTAAGTTAATTTAGTAAGAAATGTAACTTTTAATGGTGACAATAGATGAGGTGTTTGGGTTTTTAAAAAATTATTTATTTATTTAGTGTGTGTGTGTGTGTGTGTGTGTACACCATCAAATCGGATCTGACTGGTACAGGAGGAGTTTGCCCCTCCTTCTCCAGCAGAGCATCTGGTGGATTCGAGCCACGCACTTCTGGGATAATGAATGAGGTTTGAGCTCTTAATATATCATTCCTCCCTTCTATGCCTAGAACTTGGGGTAGAAATTACTATCTGCAGTTTATCTACTGAGTGATTTTGCAACTTAAAGCAGTATTTAAATTTCTATTTTTATTTCAACAACTTCAATAATTTTTTTTACAACCATTTATATCATTACCCCTATCTCTCCCCTCCTCTTCACTTATACTAACTATATTATTTAGAAATGTATTATTTAGACTTAGTTTACTAAACATTGTATCTTCTACACTTTGTTAGAATGTTGATGTAAAAACATGAAAAAGAGTAAACAGTACTCGTTGTTGTTATGTACCCTGAGACGGAACTGACCCATACTAACCCACCAGCAGGTTTTCAGAGGCAGTTAACCTCACGGGAGGAGACTGCACACCTTTCTCCCGTACAGCAGCTGATGGATTCAAACAGCACACCTTTGGGACTCCAGCACTGTTTTCTTACCACTAGGCCACCAGAGCTCACTAAACAGTATTTACATTATTATATATTAAAAAAAAAAAGTAAATTCTATTCATGGACAGGTAGAGGGGTACCCCTGTAATTATATACTTACGCTGACATAACCACTGTGGCACTCACAGGACACATTTGCTTAAATAAATTCTCCTTTCTTAGATCCATTCATACAGAAGTGCTTTTCTTGGGAACTGCCTTCATTTTCCTTATCTGTATGTTATTATTGTTGTGACATACTGCCCACCTGACTGTGACTCATAGTGACCCTATGAACAACAGATCTGAACCTTGCCATAGCCTGCCCCGTCCTCATGAGCTGACAGGATTCAGTCCATTGTTTGTCACTCTGTCAATTCATCTTTTGAGGGTCCTCCTCTAAGCCTCCACCTTCCCCTGCAGGATGTCTCTTCCCAAGGATTAGCTCTTCCTGACACTGTGTCCAGAGTATACAAGACGCTTTACCATCTTAGCCTCTGCAGAGCACCCTGGCTGCACTTCCTCCAAGACAGACTTACTTGGTCAGTCGACCAGAGTTCAGGTCTCTGCTCACAGGGTCACTATGAGCTGTACTCACCCTGACAGCATAGAACATCTCTCTCTCTCTTAAGTTTTTGAAACAATATTTTTCCTGTATGGAAGTTCTGTCTTGGAATTCCTTTTTCCTGAGCTCGGCAACTGACTTCTTTCTAGCCTCTCCTCTCCTTTGGTTTTTCAGATCAGCTCCAAACACAGTAAATATCTATTTTTCTTAGATTTCCTATTCTTCGTGCGGGCAAACCCTGTAAGGAAGGGTTGCAAAAGTACTTTTCAGCTATAGCTAATAACTTTATATTCTTTTATTTTCCTTGTTGTGTACTGCAGAGTCAGATCCGACTGGTACAGGAGGAGATTGCCCCTCCTTCTCCAGGAGAGCCATCCGGTGGATTCGAACCTTAAGCCTTCAGGATTAAGGGGAGCTCTGGTCGCCTAGTGGCAAGAAACTGCATTGCAATCCCAGAGGAACACAGTTCGAATCCACCAGACGCTCTGCCGGAGAAGGAGGCGCAATATCCTCCTGTACCAGTCAGATCAGATTTGACGGTACACGTACACAAAATTAAAAAAAAAAAAAAAGCCTTCAGGATTGCAGTGCAGCTTCTTTCCACTAGGCCACCAGAGCTCCCTAATAACTTCATTTTCAAGAGAGTTCTTTCCAAAGATATTTTAGGCTAAGGGCAGAAGGTTCTAGTAAAGCCGCTTTGAATGTGCTCGTGAACTCGGTCTGTGTGACCAAGTGGTAAGCTCAGTCCAAGCGGCACGACCAGGATGGTGGTGAGGAATGTGTGAAGGCAGAGGCAGCTAATGTCCATGGAGGTGCGCTCTCTCTCACCCCCAGTCACTGACTTTCCGTAGAGCCGGAACGAGCTGAGTCCAGAGTAGCTGAGCATTCCGAGTTCACAAAGTGGAAGAAGTTAGTGCCAATAACTAAGAAGTCAGTGAGACTTTCTTCTCTACCTGGCTTCTTCAGGTATGAGCTCCACTGTTTGATGTAATGTGTGCAAAGCTGAGCTTTACTAATCTCTAGGGCTTTGATAGCCCTTTTGACTCTGTAAGTCAGAATCAACTTACAGCTGACCCTCTAGGTTTTCAGAGGCTGAAACCACATGACAGGAAAGTGCCCGTCTTTCCCCCACAGAGCCAACAGTGGATTCTAACTGCTTGTCTCTGGGTTGGCAGCACAATTCCTTACCACTAGAGCTCCCTTCTCAATTGCAAAGTTTACACATTCTCTTCTCTTCCCTTCTATGGAGTTCTGAAGATCTTCTCCTTTCCTTTGGTTTTCTGCTGTTCCACCACCAAGAGTCTAGGTGTGGATTTTCTTTCTCTTGCTTGTAATTCACTGAACTTAACTGAATATTCAATTGCTTTCTTTCATCAACAAGTTTTTACATGGTACAAAAGGTTAAGTGACCAAAAAGATGACAGTCTGAATGTATGCAGAAGCAACTCCGAAGAAATTCCTGGTAATCTACTTTCTCACAATAAACCACTGAAACCCTATGGAGCTGTCTCATGTCAGGTCTCTGGTTCTCTAAGGCAGGTGCCCCTGTACCTTGAGACCACTACCCCTCTGATCCAGGGCTAGAAGCCTCTGCCCAAGTCCAAGGACTGGCGGGGTTGGGGTGGAGGTGCAGGGGTGGATACGGGAGCTCTGGTCACTTAGTGATATGAAGCTGTACTGCAACCCTGAAGACACACAGTTCAAATCTACCAGCTGCTCCACAGAAGGATGGACAATCTCCTCCTGAACTGCCTCCGAAAACCCACTGGGTCAGCTATTGGTTGCTTCCGACTGGATGGAACAAAACAAGAGCTTCATAGGGTGCTTTGGTGGTCTAGTGTTAAGAAATTATGCTAGCAATCCAAAGGTATGTGGTTCTAATCTACCAGCTGCTCCGTGGAGAAAGGTGGGTAATTTCTGTCCCTGAGAGTACCTGCCTTTGAAAACACCACAAGCTTCAGTTATGGGTAGGATGTGCCTCCAAGCTATACAACATCAACAATGCAGAGCTTTCTAACATGGGCCTAAAGCTTCAAGGCTAAGACTGAGTTGTCACTGCGGAGGCTGTCCTGATTGAGGGCATTCTGCTGCCCAATCAACACCATAATTGTGAGAAAGCAACAACACAAAAACCCAAAAATTCAACACAAAACCTGCCATAAAATACACGTATGAAACATGATTATATGAATGATTATAGGAAAATCAATACAATTTTTTTTCAAAAATGCCCAAGGGGGAAAAAATAGCCCAACCCCTATGGGACACAGTTCTGCTCTGAAACATTCGGGGTTGCTAAGGGTTGAAACAAACTCGATGATAATTTTATTTTGGGAGGGTGATCTTTCAACTCTGGCAGCCATTGCTACTTCTCGAACTCCACTGAAATGTATTTATTCAACAAAACACTCACATAGGGCTTTCAAAGCTGATCTATCTTATAACTACCATACATGGTAAGGTATAAACTCCACTTTACAGGTGAGGAAAATGTAACAGCAAGAGGCAAGTGATTTGCTTAAGATCACAGAGCTAGAAAGTGATAATCTGTTTCTGTTAGGTTTTCCCAAGCTTTTGTATTTTTTTTTTTAATCTTAATTTGACTTGTATTTTCTTCTTCTTTGGTCCCTGTTTCATTTAGAATACTTTTTTTCTGTCCAGTCCTCTAATTCACGAATTTTCCCTCAGGCATTTTAAACCCATCTTCTAAATTCTTCATTTTGACCACTGCACAGTCTCAGGAGCAGCTCTGGGGATGCTGTCAACAGAGGTGCTGGGCTGGTATTCAAGAGGTCAGAGGTCAAGACCAGCAGGTGCTCAATGAGAAAATGCATCGTAAGATTTACAGCTTTGGGAATCCCAGGGGGCAGTTCCACTGTGTCCCCCTAAAAGACTCTGAGAGGTACCTATACATATGTCTCTTTACAGAAAGAGTTTCTTGTTTTTGGCAATTCATTTCAAACTTGTCTTTCATTAGTTCTTTAAATGTAGTAAGCACAGTTTTAAGACGGTGTCAGTGATTCTAATGCAGGAAGTCTTTGCGGATCTATTTTGTGTTTGTTGTTTCTGGTCCTTTTAAATGCATATTTGATTGTCTCTGACTATATGTTAGCCACGGAACTTGAAACATTTGATGATCTGTGGTTAGGACTTAGTAACCTTCTTCCAAAAATTTATGATCACTTCTGACAGATGTCTGTGCACCAAACCAATCTGAAACCATCTAGTGTCGGCGTACAGCCTGAAGATCTGTGAGCTGCTGAGGCCATGACAAATTCAAACTGAAAAACCAAACTATCTGAGAGAATTTACCACAGGGTCAGTTTATTAAACAGAAACGTTCCTAACTTATCATCCACTCGCTGTGGGTCCTGGATTTTTATTCTTCTTCCTATCATGCTGGGAAGAGAATCAAAAGAACTTGCAGGTGCCAGATCGAGTTGCTTCGCTACCTTTTTATTTTTTCTCTTTCATTTTAGGATCTTATTTCCATCTGCTTACCACTTTTTTTATTTCTCTATGGTCAGCTCTTCATTGCTTTTCAGAATCTGAAAAAACTTTTTGAAAATTTTTACTATTTTTAAGAAGAGTTGATCCAAAAGAATTAAACCTCCACACACACTGTTCTCTTAACAAGATTCCTCCTTTTACGCATGGCTAAGTTTTCAAGTTGTACTCTTGAGGTTCAGTTTCTAGGAATTAATCTGTAATAACGTTTCACCGAAGGTACAAGAGCTACAGCAGGTAATCATAACATTAAAACTTTTTTTCTTGCTATCTTTCAATTCTAGCCCTTCCCCTCAACTGATAAAACCAATCCCTTCCTTTTTACTGCCAGAGTTCTAATATATTTTAGGTACTAAAATAAATTATAAATAAAAATTAATCTAATAATTAAATCCGTATATAAAGAAAGGAATTCTCAGTATTCACAGAGATCCCATAAAGAGCTTAGGCCTCACACACCTTTATTTCCAGTATCTTGCTTTTGAAGCTGTTTAACAGAACAACAGCATTGCTGACATTTCTTCCAGAATCTGTTCCTTCATGCCTAAAATTATAAAAATGCATAATTATTTCAACGTATGAGGTACAATTATGGTAATATAAATAACACAAAACATTCTGTTTGAAAAAACACAAGTAATTGCTTTTTAATTTATATATATCATACCTGCTTTTCTATAGCTAATTATATTATAGTATACTACATTTTTCAAAATTACCAAGTAGTTTTGAACTTAACTAAAATTACAATAACATAAAAGAACTCATTAAATCTATTACTGCATATTTACTCATAAAGTTAAATTACTGTTTATTCTTGTTACTGCGTAGTAACTTCATCATAAGTTATTTTTTTCACATCTATACTATATTCAATAACTAAAACGTTGAGTTATTTGCTGTACTTGAAAAATAAGTTGTTTATATATCAAAATAAAAGGAATTTTACACTGCCCCAATTTCCAAAACCCAGTAGCCACTTTTAAATACTAAAATCTAAAGTGTACTGTCAAATGAACAAGGTTAAAAACGTGTCTGCTACGTGGCACTTAAACGGCACAGACAAATCAAATGTAACCAATTCCCTCAGGAATTCATTTTGGATGCTTTTTTCACTTTATATTGAAAACTTAGTAACAATCATATAAAGTAGCTTTGTATTTTATCGAAAGAGAAAACCCATCAGACCTTGTCAGTAGCTACGTTGGGTACTGTAAGATAACACGGTCAACCTTCTCTAAAATGATGACCTATATCCCCCAGATAAGGGAGCTAACAAAGAGCAGAGTGCTGTCTGACAGGCACCACTAGAAGGAAGGAAGGATTCCAAATATTGCGGAATTGTCTTCCAAACTTCCAAGAGTTTTGCTCCCAGTGTTGCTCAGGTGAGGCAGCAACCTCAGCCATCTCAGTAACACCCCTCTGGACTGAGACGAGGTTCGTGTCAGCGAGCAGACACTGGCGTTCCCAACGCTGGAGAAGCTGAAGCGACTCCCAGCTCACCTCCAGCGGGTTTGTGGAAGGCTGCAGGTTTCACAGGAGACCCCCCACCTTTCTTCCAAGGAGCTGCCGGCGGATCTGTGAGCTGCCAGAGCTCTCTCGTTTTTGCTGTGTACTGTCGAGGCGGAACTGATCCACTGATGACCCTCCAGTGGGTTCTCAGAGGCTGTAACCTGCACAGGAAGGGAAAGACTACCTCCACCCATCTGACCCCCAGCCTCTGAAAACTCACTGGGGCGTCAGTGATGATTTGGTTCTGACTTGATGGCAATGAGTGATAACAGAGCTGTTGCTGTTGTGGATTTGAACCATGCACCCCTTGTGCTAGAAGCACAGTTCCTTACCACTTAGCCCCCAGGGCCCCCTGAAACTACAGCTGGATCTGTAGAGTCTAAAACCAAACCATCTCCACCAGGAGGCAGAAAGAGTAGTAATGACCTGCTCTTAATTTCAGGCACTATTATAACGACTTTATAGATAGCTTAGCTTATCCCATATAATAATCCTTTTAGGCAGGTACAACTACCTTAAATTAAAATTGAACCTAAGTGATCTGGCCCTTCATTTTTATCAATAATGTAAGCAGCAAAATGAATGTTACGAAACAAGGAATCAGAGAGCTCTAGTGGCCTAGTGGCAAGAAACTATACTGCAATCTCGAAGGCACATGGTTTGAATCCACCAGCTGCTCTGTGGGAGACGGATGGGCAATCTCCTTGGAGCAATTAGCTGCCTCTGAAAGCTCACCAGAGCATCAGTTTCGGGTCAGTTCCGACTCAACAACAACAGTAAGGAATCATGAGAGAAAGATGGGCCACCACCTTCTGTGTGATATATACAGCCTCGGAAAGCCTGTCTGAAAGTCAGCTATGAGTTTGTTTTGACTTAATGGTAATGAGACAGAAGAAGTAAGGAATCAATATAACAAATAACTCCCTCTCCCTCTGTACAAAACACAGGTAACAAGTCTCAGGAGTATCAAACAAAAAATTCGTAGAAACACTAATCTGACAATCTTCACAGAAATTGTAACAATTTATGTAGACACTGCTGTTTTTAGGTGCTGCCGAGCTGGGTACGACTCACAGCGACCTTCTGAACCGCAGATCTGACCCTGTCCCATGCTGGGCCATCCTGTCTCTGACACACTCAAGGTCATCTTTGTAGTCACTGTGTCATTCCACCTGGTAGAGGGTCTTTATTTCCTTCACCGTTCCTCTACCTTTCCAAGCATGACGTTTTTCTCTAAGGAACAGCCTCTCCTAGTGACGTATGTCGAGTCTGTGGGACGAAGCTTTATCATCTTTTTTTCCAAGGATCATTCTGGATGCACATCTCCAAGACTTAACTGTTTGTTCTTTTTGCCGTCCATGGGATCTTCAGCCTTCTTCTCCAACACCACAGCTCAAAGGCATCAATTCTTCTGTTATTCACTGTTCAGCTCTCAGAGCATAGTGTCTGCGATGACCAGGGCCTGCACCTGGCACACCTCAGTCCTCAAACTGACATTATCCCATCTCAGCTTTCCCAGTGTAGTGTCTCCTGACTGCTGGTATCAAATGTACGGACTGGGAATCCAAGTACGATGAAGTCTCTGACAGCTTCAATAGTTCTGTGTTTTCTTGATATTGAGATGCAATCCATAAAGAAGGTGTAGTGTCTGATCTTCTGCAGCAAGTATTTCAGGTCCTTTGCACTTTCAGTAAACAAGGTTGTGCCTTCTGTATAATGCAGGTTATTGATGAGTTTTCCTCCAATCCTGATGCCACAATTCTTCTTCATAAAGTCCAGCTTCTAGAATAATATGCTCAGCATACACATTAAACGTATGGAAAAAGGATGTACCCATAACTCACACCTTTGCTAATTTTAAAACCACGTAATATTCCCTTGCTCTGTTTGCACAACAGCCTCTTGGTCTAGGTATAGGTTTCACACACGTACAATTAAGTGTTCTGGGATTCTCATTCTTCCCAATTTGGCCATAATTTGTTAAGATCCGCACAAATACCTTTGCATAATCAATAAAACACAAATACACAATCTTCTGTGTTTATTGACGATTTATTTATTCTTAAACACATATATAAATAATTATAAAGCATCCCATATTATCTACCATTTTTTAATGAGAACATCTACAGGGCATTGGTAGATTTATAAAGTAGATCTATGAAGCTTTTTCTCTTCTTAATGATTTTTATCATTAAATAATTTTTTAAATGATTTTATGAAAAACTGTTTTCAAGAAAAATATTCTACAGTGAATGTGGGCAGACGATCTGCAGTTAAAGATTACGAATGACTGACACAGCACCCAAGTGACAAGTACGCCAGAAAAAAGAAAAACCATGTGAACTAAAAAATGCAGGAAAATGCTATTTTCCCTCAGCTCCCCAGCATGCTTCGTTCGGGTCTGTATTTCCTAAATCCAAGAGTAGTATCAGTTAGAATAAGTGTATTTTTTGAACCCGTATTTACTTCTGTGTTTCATTCTGCCTCTACCAGCTCACCCTCTTTCTCGAGACAAATGATTATTTACCTTTGTCTTACTGAGTGGTTTACAACTTCAAAGGCATTATGCAGAAAGTACTCTTCCTGGCTTGCTGCTCTCATCTAACGGGACGGGATTATCTTGAGACCACACCGTGCGCATCAAAGATTCACTCTATTTTAACACTGACCAGCATTCCACAGTATAAACAGATCATCATCTGCTTATCTTTTCTTTTGTTTACATTTTACGTACAAGTTTTTCTTTGGGCATGTAATTCCTTCTTTTTCATATAAATAACCACGAGTGACGAAGCTGAGTTTTATGTACAAAGAGAGATGCTTAAATTCTTCATAAACTGACATCTAGAGGTTGTGCTTCTGGACTTTCCCATCAGCAGCCAAGATGGCTCTTACTGCTTTACAGTCTAACACTTGCTAGTGTCAGTCTTTTTTATTTTAGCCATTCTGTTACATATGCAAAAAACTCGAATGGCTTAGTGATAAGGAGTTAAATAAGTTACACACACACACACACACACACACACACACACACACACACACACGATGTCAATTCATGGGGAAAATTTTAGAAAATAAAAGACAGAATTATGAACAAAATTTCTACTTTAGATGCATTTATACGTAGTTGGGTAACAAAAACAATGATGGGGTAGATGTTAGCATTTTATAAATACTGTGTATTTTACAGTGATGGTGTCTTTATTAATTTTAGCTGTTTTACTTATATTGTTTCTATTACATTAAAAATCTATTTAAAAGTGGTTTGTATAACTCACCCAACTATTTGATAAATGTCTTCAGATTTTCCTTGGCGTAATTTCAGTATCCAAGCACCTGGGTTTGCTTTTAATTGAAAGTATCCCTATTATGGTGAGAAAAATGTATCATATATTTAAATGATTAAAAATGTATTCAGTCTTTCAAGACTATACATGAATTATTCCAGAAAGTGTGGACTAATTGTCGGATGAATGAATTGTACAACTGAATTTTTAAGGAAGGAGATGTTCACAATTACTTATTAAAGTACCTTCTAAAAGTACCATTTCCCCCCTTATTTTGGGTTCATGACAAGATTTCATTTCTTCTCATGCTCTGTAGCAACTGAGTCAGAAAGATTATTCCATCTCACTATTACAGAGTGTGAAACATTCCGGGAGCTTGTGGCTTTCTTTTTGCCACAAGTGGGTGTTGGCAGAGCAGATGTGCCAGATGAACTAGGTGTCTCGGGCCCAGAGTTCGCCAGCATGGGGGCGTGCCCTTGGGCCTGGTTTTTTTCAATATTTTTGTTCCAACATTCTTCTAGGTCGTATAGCCCTGGTGTATCCACTCGCCATACAGAGGTAACTTGCAGTCGCTGTGAAGCTGTACACTGTGACACTGATGTGTCAAATGCGATAATGGTTACCCACGGTGGACAGTGTTTGGTGGAGCTCCCTGATTAACACGTTGCTGTGAATGATGGTAATACATCGAAGAAGAAAAAAATGTGTTTCTAAGCACGGTCGTCAATTTAAAAGTGTGCGGCGGCAACGTTGTTAAAACAAGTTTGGAAGCAGGAGTGGCATCCACTTCCGTAACAGCTTGCCTCCAGAAACCCTATGAACCTGGAGCAAGGATGAAAGTCACACAAGTGTTGAGGACTTTCGTTCACAGGGTCGCTATGAGTCACCTACAAGACGGCACTTAACAACAACAACCATTATCAACAGTTGCAGGATTTACCAAAATATCTACTTAAGTGTTACAAATGACGCAGCTCCAATACTTACAAGGTTGGCCATCACTATTGTGTCAACCAGCACAGGTCTGGTTTTCGTGCCGAGTGTGAACTGCAGCCCTCGAGGAGGCTGTTCAGTCGCTACGTCAAAGCAGTGGCCTTCGAGTAACAGATACTCCAGCTCATATTCGGCTGTGACCATCCTCTCAATCTGCAGAGGAAGATGGGTTGTTGTTTTGGTATCAGTAATACATATTTCACAATAAAAGTGCTACTACTTAGAATTCGCAAACACACTTCAGTAGACAATCTTTCTTTAAAAGGTACGTGAACTTTCAGTTGAATCAATTTCTTGACGATCAAATTTCATCACCATTTTTTTTTCTTTCCAGGACATTAGCGCTGACCCCAACTAACCTCATGCTTTATGAGCAAACACTGGGTATACTGGCAAGATGTGAGGATGGGTGGACGCTCTGGAGGGACAGCTATGCGCCAACTGCAACCCACAAGCAAGGAGTGTGAAACGAAATGAGTTTTATGAAAAATGTAGTCACAAAAGAAAACAAATGAAACAGGTTTTCAGACAGACTGGGAATTTGATAAGATTAGCAACACTGATAACCATTCCTATCTAAATTTATTTCACCACATGAGCTTTTTCTCAGACGCTTGTTTAGTGTATATACTACATTGTACAGTGATTTTTTCCCCCCCTTTAACTGGAATAATCTCAGAAATAATTACAATACTGTGGTATAGTGTTTAATTTTGTGTACAGGTTTTAGAATGTTACTGGCTTTGAGTCCAAAAAGATAGGGAAAGGCAGATGTTCTGTAACTGATACACCAGAAAACAAAGAGAATACACACAGCTGATACTTCTGGAACGCAGCGTGTCAAAGGAAATGAGAAAGAATTAGTTCAAACACCAAGTGAAGCAAGAAACAGAAAGCACTGAATAAGACGACGAAGTGATGCAATCGTATCAAACTTCGGCAAGCCGCTTTCTACTCGGGATAGGTATGCAGGACAGCCAGAGTTCACCAAGAGGATGGAGGAACAGGACAGACGGTAACTGTATCCACCCAGTCCAGCCACCCCGAACCACCTGCAGCTCCACCTACTGGAAGGAGTCAAGATCAGCGACTGCTCCACCTGATCAAGGACAGACTGCAGCCCACAGTCCGTTCCACTCTACATGGACAGTGCAATCAGACGTACACCTCCACCTCCCGTCACTTACCAGAGGGCAGGAGGTGAGACCAAGAACTGCCGAACAAACAAATCCCTCATACCAAGACCAAACTGATGATGAAAGTTGTAAATTAGAGCCACACCTAAATAGTAAACTGAAATGCAGAATATTTAAACTAAAACTTTGGAGACAGGTTAAACATTGGAATTAGAACTGAATCAGTGGAACACAGAATTAACAAGATGCAGTACGCATTTATCAATATTCATTTATTCAGGTAGTTGGTTTATTCGGTCAGTTTATTTTATATGAATTTGAAAGTTCTCCTTGTCCCTGAATATCTGTGTAACAGGAATCAATTTTACAAAAAAGGATGGATGGGGAGTGTGAGAGAAAAGGGAGGGGACGGCGAGGAATTGGTTAAGACATAACTAATGACATTGTTCTAGTTAACTATTATTATAAAACAAAATGGGTATGAGTGATTGAATGAAAGCCAGTTTTAACAAGGAAGTACTTTGTGTCCAGAATTATGAAGAAGACTAGTGTCTACATCTGTGATAAACATGAATAAGAAGGTAGGGTGCGAAGTCTCTGGAGGAAAAAAAATACTGAAACAGGAAGGAGCACCAAAGAGCACTTCATTCTTCAAGAAGTTCATTCTTGTGATTATTTTAAATTCTTAAGGCTGGGAACCATATTCTTAAGGCGACAGCAAAGTCAACTTGTATAAAGACAACGTTCTACACTATAGAGGTAATCTGGTAAAACGACTTTTTTTAAAGGCCTTTTCTTTTTAGCAAAAATATGAAAGCTTGGAGGGGGAAGGAAATGCAGCAATAAAAAAGGAAAACTTCTTTTATGATAAAAAAAGAATATGAAACCTACAGACTCTATCTCCCTTCTACACTTAACTGTTCTAATCAGTAACTGTTGATACGAGACATGAATTTGATCAAAAACAGGACTTTGGAAGCATTTAAGTTTTGCTAAACAGAAGCATTTATTCTTTGCCTGGATGATCAACCTTTTTAAAAAACAGTGTAAGACACTAAACTTTTAGAAGCAAATCTTCAGGCCTATCTTTTAATTTACCTATGAGTGAACTCAAACTTCCAAGCTTTTAGCTAGTAGTTGGGCACTTAACTGAACCATCCAGGAAACCATGACTACATTGCTAAACACTATTATGTTCACTATTTTATGTACAAAAGACTATAGGTAGTTTCATGTAGAAAATAACTATAGACAAAATTACAAAAAACAAAGTATGTTTCATTAGAAAGATTAATATTTGAGTTTCTTAGCAAGTATCTTTAAATCTTGTTCTTTCAGTATTTTTATTATTAATAAATGCACTTGTATTGTTAGTAGATAAATGTGTCGTTCCAGTGACCGGCTCCAATGACAACGTGAGCAAGATCATGGTATGTATCTCTATTAACGATCTGGACAAACGGTTGGGGAGTTTGGTGTGTTCTGAAAGTATCTGAAGGCTCCATCTAAACATCGAGAATCTGGGAATAGATATAAGGAAGATATCCAGTCACATGAAATTAAAAACACTTAGGAAGGGTACACAAAGGAGTTGACCGGGCATTGTAAATCCATTTTCGTTTATATTATAAAACAAAGTGTCCATGAATTAGTAATAAAGTTTTTTTTTAAAAAATTTCTTTTGATAATTTGAGGAAAAGCCAGCCATGTAAGACTTCTGTAACAGAAATGCAGAGATTTGTTGAATTTGATTTAAATGACTCAGTTATGCAGAGGGGACCAACACCTCTACTATATATGTTGTCTCAATTTTTGTAAATGTTTACAGTAAAAAATTTTCACATCTTCTAAAATGAGAAAATAAACTGAGCCCAAGAGAAGTATACAGTTATCCAACTTTCTTTATCCAAATTATAGCATCCATCAGCATCTATGTCAAGATTAATAAAATAGGAATTCTTTGGTAATTACATTGGTTATTCATGTCTCAGTTATGAAAGTGACAGAATTTATTTAATAGCATTTTCTAAGAGAATTCTATTTCCTTTTATGCTTTGATAAACACAACCACATCCCATCCTCAATCTTAACTCGTGTCTTTCTTCCTCTAATGGGAAATCAACCCCAGTTACTTGGATATCGTTCAGAAATACACTGGTGATAAACTAGAACTATTTCTATTCTGTGGGCGCAGCTTTCCCAGCAAGTGTATTGAAGATCACGTGGATCTTGGGTAAAAGAGGATGTTTCACTTTAAGCCTTTTTTACCTCCTTTTGTCACTTTTAACTGTGCCGCCTGGGTTTCTTCCTAAAGCATCACTGGTTCTTGATCATATATGCTCCTTGCTGAAATGGTGCAGCACCCACCACGTCCTTCTGGTGCAAGCACTCTGTGTCTGCCTTCCATCTCTGTTGATGAGTCTGTTTTGATTCAGTATTTCGCCCATACATACATCAGTATTACAACTCGAGACCTGAATTTGTGCTGCTCTTTCAGCTCGAGAAAATCTAAATGCATTCTTTCCTCTTGATTCGCTCAAAGTCTCGGCACATTAGATTATAATTCTTCATCTTCTTGAGCTGCCCTCTGAAATCTGTTCAGCTTTCTTCCATCATTTTCTCCTTTCACATTAGCTTCTCTGTGCTTAAGATCTATTTGATCTCTTTCTTGTCTTTTTTTTTTTAAAGTAAAATTTTTCTTTTATACTGGTTTACTTACGATGCTTATATACATTGTTTTTCACTCCAGAAATGATCCATGCATTCTTCAGAAATGATGTCCTTGATGTCATCCCACAACTTGTCCAGTTTTGGTCGTTAGTGTTCAGTGTATAAAATGTATTCTTGAGAAGGGTTACACTTCAACATCAACAAAACAAAAATCCTCACAACTGGACCAATAGGGTAACATCATGATAAATGGAGAAAGACTGAAGTTGTCCAGAATTTCACTTTACTTGGATCCACAATCAATACCCATGATAGCAGAAGTCAAGAAATCAAAAGAAGTACTGCATTGGGAAAATGTGCTGTTAAAAGTTCTTTAGAGTGTTAAAGATCAAGGCTATCACTGGGAAAAAAAGAGATGTGCCTGGCTCAAGTCATAATCTTTTTAATTTTTTCATATGCATGTGAAAATCGTACAATGAAGAAGGAAGACTGAAGTAAACTGATGCTTTGGAATTATGCTGCTGGTGAAGGGTACTGACAACTCCACAGACTGTAAACAGAACACACAAATCCGTGCTGGAGTGCAGCCAGGATCATCCTGAGAGGCAAGATTCTTTGATTCCCATGCTTTGGGCATGTTGTCAGGAGAGATTAGTCTTGGAGGAAGACTTCGTTCGGAAAAAGAAAGGATTAGTGAAGGAAAGGAAGACTTTTAATGACGTGGATTGACACAATGACTGGAACAATGCTTAACCACAGTGGAGACTGAAGATGGCACAGGACTGGGCAAAAAAGATACTGACCTGTGTTTGATTGACTATGCAAATGCATTAGACTGTTTGGATCCCAACACATTATGGAAAACTTTGAGAAGAATTAAGTGTCTCAGAACATATAATTGTACTCATGGTAAACCTACACATAGACAAAGAAGCAGTTGTCCAAACAGAACAAGAGGCACTGCATGGTTTAAAGTCTAGAAAGGCATGCATCAGCATTGTATCCTTTCTCCGTAACAATTCAATATGTATGCTGAGCAAATCATTCAAGAAGCTGGACTCTATGAAGAGAATGTGGTGTCAAGATTGAAGGAGGACACCTAAACAACCTATATTGTGTAGATGACACAACCTTGCTTATAGAAACAAAAGACTCAAAGCAGTTACTAACGAATATCAAAGACTCCAGCCTTCAATATGGACTATATCTCAACATCAAGAAAACAAAAATCCTCACCAATGGACAAATAGGCAACATCATGATAAAAGGAGAAAAGATTGAACTTGTCAACAATGTCATTTCACCTGGATTCACAAACAACACTTAATGTAGTGCCAGTCAAGTAGTTGAAGGACATGCTGCCTTGGGAAAATCTGCTGTTAGGGACCTCGTTCGTCCAGGTCCTAAAGAGCAATGATGTCAATTTAAAGACTAAACTGAGTCTGAGTCAAGCTACAGTTACTTTCAATTGCTTCTTACGCATCTGAAACGTAAGACTATGAATAAGTAAGAATGAAGACCCTCGATTACTGTGAACTGCAGTGCTGGAGAAGAGGACTGAATAGTTCCTGGACAGCTAGAAGAGCAAACAAGTCTGTCTCAGAGAAAGTGCAGTCCTGCTCTTTAGAAGCAAGGATGGTGAAAGTCTGTCTCACATAATTTGGGCATGTTGTCAGGCGGCGCCAGTACCTGAAAGACAACGTCATGCTGGGAAAGGTAGAGAACAACACCGTCAACGAGAAGGACCCACACAATGACTGTAACAAATGGCTGAGTGTGTGGGAGGTGGCAAGGGCAGTGCAGGAAACGGTAAGGTTAAAACCAGTTGCTCAGAGGCTCTCTGTTGAGTTGCACCTAATAACAGCAACAATATAATTTTTACTCCTGAGTGCTAAAGGAAAAGCTTGTCCAAAAGGAGAATACTTAGACAAGTGGCCACACAAGAGAAGCTTAAGAAAAAACATTTTGAACAATCATAACGAAATTATTTCAGGTAGGACGTTTAAGCCTGCACTGGGGTGGAGCTCCCTGATTAAAACAAGCGTGGAAGGAGGAGTGGCATCCACTTCCATAATAGCTTGCCTCTGGAAACCCTATAAACCTGGAGAGAGGATGAATGACACCCAGGCGTTGAGGACTCTCCTTTATAGGGTCCCTATGAGTTGCCTGTGACTCGACAGCACTTAAGAACAACAATGAGGTAATGGCTACATTTTAAAAATAAGTCCTAAGAGGTTGCAGCACAATCAGCAAAGAGGGAAGAAAATGAGAGGTATTTTTCGACTTTGTTTCAAGGTGACAGGGTGGTGTTGTTGTTAGGTGCCATCGAGTCGTGGATGACTCATAGTGACCCTATGAATGAAAGGCCTGAGCACTGTTCGTACAGTTTCCAGAGGCAACCCATTTCGGAAGTGGATGCCACTCCTGCTTCCAGGCTTGTTTTAATCGGGAAGCTCCACCAAACACTGTCCACCATGGGTGACCATTGTCGCATTTGACACATCAGGGTCACAGTGTTCAGCATCACAGCAACCACGAGTTACCTCTGTACAGCAATGCACAGACCAGTGCTACACCACCTCGAAGAATGTCTGACGAAAAAAAAAATTCTGAATCCCTTTTCCCATTCTTAGTTCAGTATTTATAAAGAGTTGTATATTCTAAAAAGTTTTCTCCTTTTTCTTTTTACACAAGAACTTAT